TGGTAGGATGAGTCGACACACATCTTGATCAGGTTCCAGACAGTTTGAGAGGAGTTGAGCGCTTCCGTGATGGACCCCGGAGTCTCGAATCGGATCTTGAGGAAACACAGAAGCAGCGGCCGTGTTGCAAGGACGATGCACTATACAAGTCAGTAAGCTTTCCTGCAGTCTATTGGCTATTCACTCACCTGATGGTAAAGAAGATGAAGATATCCTGATGTCCGAGAGACTCCGTTGATGGCTCTATCCACGCCTAGGGGAAACTGCTGCTGAAGTTCGTCGGCTAGCCCAGCGATGTTCTCCAGAACTTTCTTGGTACTAAGCAAAAACTTTTTGTTCAGACGCCCATTAGCTCCATAGACACCTGATAGTCAAGACGTTAGTAAAATGATAATCCCATTATGCGCCGTTCTTACCTCTGTTTATCGAGGCAATAGTCCGACATAACCGAATTTGCATATGAAGAGCTGCCACTCTATGTGTCGAACCAGAAAAGTGCGGGAGCTGAGGATGCACATCGTCGTCATGGATGGTTTGAGGCAGGCCCATCAACGATGTCATTTCACGGTCAAGGACATAGACTGTCCACCATAACTTGCGGCTTCGCTCGACGATCTTTTCCCCTAGATGTTCCAGGGGCATATCCGTGTGCATACCCTGTGAGAGGGCAATTCTCATGGCTTGTCCAATCTGCAAGATATTAGCTGGATTTCAACCGTTATTGAGCAGTAAACCCACGTAGCAATGTGATGAGTGCCGGTAGTCGAGGCACTGGAAGTACAAGGCGATACAGCAGAGAAGTTCGGTCGATAAAATTGGTTCTTGGACAAGAATGTGAATGCTGGGTAGAAGACGAAGTGCAGTGACAAAGTAATCAGCTCCGGGCGGTCGTTTCGATTGGTAGTTGTTGGTTTCGGCAAATGCCTTACCGAAGGCGAGAATAACTAGAAGGTGAATGTAGCGAAGATCTGCGACGGCGATGTGACTGGTCGGGTCGGCATAGAATTCGTGGAGATACTGGTTAAACGATTCATCATCGAATAAGTGAAATATTTGGCTGCAGTGAAATTTGACCGTGTTGATGAGGTAAACAGCGTGGTCAAGACTCGGCATGAGAGGAGGTTCTGGAGGTGGGCTGATGCGGGAACCATCCCATCCAAGATCGTAGGCTGAGCCATCAAAGAGCAGGTTGTCTGCAGCGATGGGGCTCTGGTGGATATACTCGTGGGTGAGGCTGAGTACACGGCGACTGAAGGACCAGTTTGAGGAGGTGCCAAGGTAAACTGGGATGGATGTTAGACAGGGTGCAAAGTCAGATGCGGAAGACTCACATTCTCTTCCCTCGGCCGAGGTCATAAACTTGGACTGTCCGGTTGAGAGTGGATTTGTGAGAGCAGAAGCCACTGGGTCCAGCCCATTTCTGCTATTTGAGCTACTCCTGTTGCCCGACAATGCATCGTCTGTCGGGACAGTTGAGGCATTCCCGCCTGGAGAGGGAGGATTGTTGACATTGACGGTGACAGTGTCGCCTATTTCGATATGAGCCACTAATGACAGTAACCAGTGAGGTATATAGAAACAAACCTTCTTCAGGACCTCTACCACCAACGTCTATGTTTGTGTCCAGCGACCCTGGTGTAACATACTCTGCAGCACCAGCGCGACGTTGACTATGGGCAGCCTGCTGCTGCAGATCAAGAATGAAGCTAAAAGTCGATTAACACGTCATTCCAGAACAAAAGAACAATGTCTAATTTACCCTCTTGTGACCAAGATCTTTTGATCGCGCTGGTCAAACTCGCACGATAACTTGCGCTTCTTGCAGGCATCGCAAGGATGCGAACCAGAACACTTGATCTTTTGCTTGCGACACCGTGAACAACTGGGGCGTGGTTCTCTTGGTCAGCGTCATGTTGCATATGAGGGGGACAAGGGTGGTTCTTTTTTTTTTCTGTAAATTGGGGAGAGATGGGGGTGGGCTTGACGAACGCGTTATCGGATCTTTTGGACACGCGGCCTCCTCGCGAGTTTGCAGAATCCGCTGTTCTCCTTGCGTTTGAGGAAGAGCTCGGCGGCATGATACTACAGTCTGACCTGTGGTTGAATGGATAAAACGGTCTAGAGGTTGGTGGAAGGGCTGGATGGGGGGTGTTATGGGCCTCGTCTTGCTGTCGAGTTGGGAGGCAAAAAGTCACGAGATGGTTGGAAATTTGGTTGCAGGCTTGCACTAGCTCCAACGCGATATGCGGGGTAGAAGGACAATGTCGCCGGCCCTTATCGGGGTTCGGGCTCGTCGGGACTAGACAGGGATGGTGTTATCACTTCGCTTCAGTAGGTGTTGATAGTGGTGTGGACACGCCTGGAAAGGACCCCAGCTTTCCATTGTGGCGCTAGAATGTGGAAGAGGAACGGCTGGCTATCTCATGGTGACTGTTGAGATGCTGGACGTTGACGACAGGGGCTGGCATGGCTGACGGTCTCCTTTTCCATCCACATCATCTTGATCTCGACACGTGGAACTCGTCTCATGCAGTCGTGCCACGCCCTGGATGTCTTTACCTCTGCCAAGTCTTTTCTACACGATTCATTCGGCACTCAGTTGCAACTCTTCTGTCATCAGATCAACAATGGCTCTGCCTTCAGCGCCAGTTTAATATGCAGACTACTCTAAACACAAACTCAGTTCAACCGTCCCCTAACACGGTCCGTCCATGTCTTTTGCAGATCCTTCTCAACCTCGCCCGCCTCCTTCATCAACGTCGCGACGCTCTGCTTCACGGCATCGCCTACAGGCTCGTAAGGGTGTCGCGGCGCGAGCTTCTCCACGGCGCCCTCAATGCCTGCCAGCTGGGCTGAGTAGGTGGCCACAGCGTACTTTGTTGATGCCACACCGCTCTTGCAGGGGCTCTCGGCCAGGGCCGCGATGCGCTGTAGCTTCATGGCCTCGTCGAACTTGCCCTCCTTGTAAAGGGCGTAGATCTTGGACGTCAGCGTAGGGAACACGTTGGCAAAGGCTGCCACGGTGCCCACGCTGCCGGCTGCCAGACCACCGATCAAAAAGTCGGACTGACCGCCATAGGTGGAAAACTCATCGGGCGACAGAACCGCCGCGAGACGCGTGATCTTGCCCACCGAACCGCAGGTGAGCTTGACACCGACAATGTTGGACTTGCCGCTGGGGTGCGTCGCCTTGCTCTGGTTGAACATCTGGACAATCGACTCGGAGTCGATGTCGACGCCATTGCATACACCGGGGAAGTTGTAGATGATGACGGGTAGGGGAGACTTGAGAGCAAGCTCTGCGAAGAAGCGCTTCACCACAGACATTGTGGTGGCCTTGCCAAAGTAGGCAGGGGGCAGGACAAGGAGATAGTTGGCCCCAGCCTTGGCAGCGTCCTCAGCCAGCTGAAGGGTCTGCTTTGTGGAATGGGCACCGACACCTGCCATGAGGGGAAAGTCGGGGCCGATGGTCTTGCGGGCCAGGGCGATGAGGTCGTACCTCTCCTCGCGGGTAAGGAGGAAGGCCTCGGCGTTGGAGCCCATGACGATGAGGCCATTCAGGCCCGAATCAGCCAGGTGGGCAAAGTACTTTGCCTGAGCGGCATGGTCTGGCTTGTCGGCGGCATGGTCGAAAAAGGTGACGGCCGGACACCACACACCCGGGGAGGGAACGTGGGGTTGAGGAGATGCTAGGATTTGCGAGCCCATTGTGACGCTTTGACTGTGTGTATTGACTTGGGTAAATCTGACAAGGGGATGCAGTTTGGTGTGTTTTTAACCTGGAAATGTCTTGTGTGTAAATATCTCATCGACTTCACTTTTTTTATGTTCAAGGTCCGAACATGGCTGATACTCCTCATTGAAGAGTGGGGTTTGCATCGCAACTTGGCTCCGATGATGAGAGGCCGCTCCGACAGAAGGTCAAAATGCACGACTCGCCGATGGACTCCCCTCTTCAGTCTCGGGGACGGGAAGCGACCCGGTTGACCGGCAGGCCTTCCGGTGGAGGACAACACAAAATCAACCAATCATAGAGAGGCATATGTCGGACAAGGGTTCCGGCGACGTCGCCTCTCTCGGTGTTTCCAGCTCCATGATGGAAATGTTCTCGATGGCTTCGGGAAAGAGCCGTTGAAAGTCTACAGCACGGGACTTGAATGCGTTAAATCTTGATCATCGCCACTAGATGAATGCAGAGGTACAGACAGCCAAGTCATAGGGCATTCTGGAAGCTCAAGATCTTGACGCGTTGCGGACGCGTGGGGGTCGTGGCAGCATCACGCGTCAACATCACTAATTACCTCGTGGTTGAAGGAGGAAGGAAAAATGAGAGTCAGAAGAAGCAATAATGGGCACCTGATGCCAAGATGATTGGACACGTTATTTTCTATTGTATTCCCACCAAGCTGTCGTTTGTCAAGCTGCCTGTACTCCATCTTTGGCGCTCTAGGGTAGGTATTGGCCGACACGATTCAAACGGCCCCTCACTCGATGCCACAACAATGGGACATTAGTAAATGAGAAACATGTTAGTCTATCCGAGATGGCATTACCAATCGAATGAAACCATCCTGTTCGGGCAATACTAAGTAGAACTGGTATTCTAGCTCGACGGGATAAAATCTATGATCTTCCCTGTTGTCTCATGGTGAAAACGGCAGAGTGGAGAACGAACACGTTGACAAATAGTCTCGTCCCAACATACCTAGTTAACAAGAAACAACTCATATTTATTTTGCCCTTAAATATATGAGAAGTGTTCTTTTTCTCTTGGTGATGAAGTCTGCTATCTTTTCTCAACTTGGATTGCCAGATCCTTAGCCTTTGATGTTCAGGCAACTTGAAGTAGGTAGGAGTATCACAAATGCGCGTCGAGAGTACCAGGAGCCGTCAGAATGTATGGCAGACGGTCGGAATGATGCAACAGAATCAAGTATTAATCTCTAATTATGGACCTTAAAAACAAACTCGACACATCCCCTTCACAGCTTAGACTGACTGGGCTTTAGCTCGACCAGCTCCTTCGAGTTTCCAAGTCTCCAGCTGACAGCACCACCCCAATCACCCTTGACATCCTTGGAAGGTGTCTTCCATCGCCATCGAGCGACGGGCTGTTTTCCATCAGACGCCAGAAGCAGGTCCTTGACCCATTCGCCAAAGATGGGGAACATCTTGAAACCGTGGCCAGAGTCACCGCTCAAGAACACCACCGACGAACCAGTATTGGGAACGTAGTCGATGATAAAGTCCGAGTCAGCCGTGTCGGCGAACCAGCAGAGTGACTTTCGCACAAAGGGTCGGTCGGCGAACTGGGGGAGAGCATGTCGTAGGAGTTGTCGGAGCTGCTTCTCGTCGTCTTCGGGCAAGAAGGCGCTCTCACTGATACTGCCGGGGGCGTAAGAGATGCCACTCTTCGGGTCAGTGTTGATGATACCGCCGCCCATAGGACACATCTTGAGGAGGTTAGTCTTCGGATCGGGCTCGAAGAAAAAGCCCAAGTCGCGCGCATAGGTGACGGGGATGCCACGGAGAGCGGACGTCTCGTCCTCGGTGAGGTGAACATGAGCAACCGACCAGGACTTGGCCACAAGTTGCTTGCCGATCTCGGGGATCAGCTTTCCACCAGCGGCGCCGGTAGCGACGATGACGAGACGGGAGGGATAGAAGAGGCCGTTGACGGTCTTGACGCCCTTTGCCTTCCGGTCTATGGAGGAGGACTCATCATAGACAATCTCAGAGACAGCTCCGGCACTGCCTAGTATGTACTTCACACCCTTAGTCTTTGTGAGAGGATAGATTGACCGCAAGGCATTGCCAGAGTGGGCGTATCCGTCGAGCTTGTTCAGGTACCCGTGCCATCCGGGGAAGGGGTTCGGCTTGTACTGCCAGCAGACAGCGTCAATATCCTTCTTCTCGTTGATGTGGGTCACCGAAGACTTGATTTGAGGGTGTCTCTCGGCCGCATTTTGGAACCGCTTCAGTGTGTCGTAAGCCTCCTTCGGGGCCGAGCCGGATACACAGTGGAGAAAACCGGTCTGGTGGAAATGCGGAGCGAACAGGGGCGTTTGCCAGGCGTCGATGGCTTTCTAGATACATCGTTCAGATATTGAAGCCTAAGAAACATTGGGGAGGCTTACCAGAGTAAGATCTGTGTAGAAGTCATCTTCATATTCTGCTCGGACAATCTTGTTGATGTCGTTGGCGGCGGAGAAGCGAGAGGGGACTTCATCGTCTCTGTCGAGAACTGTGATGTCTGTGAAGCCGACTTGGAGAAGATGGAGTACGGTTGACAGGCCGAAGGCACCGGCTCCGACAATGAGGATCGGCTCGGACTTGGAGACACTCATGATGGCTGTAGAAGTTGTTCTGCTTGAATAGAACCGAATTGGAATGAATTGATGTCTTCATTGTCGCAACTTCTCTTCTTTTTAACCTTTCCCCTTCATCATCGTCGTCTTCATCCATCGGCCGCAAACGGCCGGTCCGTGTTGACATGACCTGGTAAACTCCTTGCCATCATTCGATTTCCCCGGACGAGGCAAGAACAGAAGGGTCTCGAGTTTGACGATAGTGGAGTAGACGAGGCTGATTGCGAATGAACGGCTGGCATTCCGATGATACTGAGCAAGCTCCCGGGAGACCTCCCGACACTTGCTGCCATTGGCTTTACCTGGTGATTGATTGGCGTTACTCACATGGCAAACGCCTCATGACTATCATTCGCCACTTCTTATGCCCTGTCTCCATCGTTGTGCGTCGTGCTGATGCGTCGATCTTGCAGCGATAATGCGGAGGTGGGAAGTTCGCTTCGTTCTGGGTTAGCTTAGCCGCTGGACTGGGGATGTGAGCCTCCATGACACACCAAGTGCCGAGATCGGTCGTACCACTTTCGGCTATCACATTCAACGTGCTTTTTTGAGAGGCGAAGCCTGGCTGAGGAGGAGGTTCGTCGGCATGGACCGCGTTATCATCATATCAGGCGAACCTGACAGGTCACTTGCGAGTCAACATTGAACATCTTGTGACATGTAAGATAGCAAAGCCAGCTTGGGATCACGTCTGCTACAAGCCCAATTGGGAACAACTGTGGATTATGCGGCTGTAAAGGCTATCATCGGATCAAAAATTGCTTCTAGAAGTTGGGATGACATACGGTTAGTGCAAGCGGCCTCCCCACACGATGCGGCGAGACAAGAGCTTGGGACAGGCATGGAGTATGAACGGGGGGGACGTGCCATTTAACCCATGTCCTTGTCTCTCCACATTTGCAACGTCAAGCCAAGGTTCAACGGCATTTGCACTCATAGAGCCCATCGGGGGTGGGAGTAAAGGTAGTAAAGAGGGATGATCTAGTGTATGGATACGTGTCGAGAGGTTTGACTCGCGGTGTAGTATAAGACACAAGAGATTTACTTGTTTGACTCTTTTATTAACACTAAAACTGCGCTTTTCGTACACTTCTACATGCAATGTTCTATATCTACTTGTTGCTGGGGTACAGGAACTCCTTCTGCTCAAAGAACTCCTCCTTGATGAGTCGGGGAGCAGTGAAGCGTCGGAGGAAGTCTGAGCTACCAGCGCGATCGCAGGTACCCGAGCTTCGGGCACCACCGAAGGACTGCTGACCGATGAGGGCGGCGGTAGTCTTGCAGTCTGAATACTTGTTAGTGTTGTGAAGGTGAGAGCAGGAAAGGTGAACTTACTCAGGTAGAAGTTACCGGCAGAGTAGCGGAGAGTGTCCTCAGCCTCACGGAGGGCCGAACGGTTGTTGGCAAAGACGGCACCGGTCAGGGCAAGACCGCCACCGTTCTTGTCAATCTTCTCAAGGAGAGGCTTCCACTCAGCGTCAGGGTAGACGTGGACAGCCAGGACAGGACCAAAGATCTCCTCGTTAAAGAGCTTGTGGTTGGGGTCATCAACCTGGTAGACGGTGGGCTCGACGAAGAAACCGACGGAGCCGTCGTACTTGCCACCAGCGATCACCTTAACGGAAGGATCCTTGTTGCTCTCATCGATGATGGACTTGATCTTGTCGAAAGATCGGCGGTGGATAACAGGGCCCATGAAAGCCTCAAAGTCCTTGTCAGGGTTGCCAATGGTGATCTCCTTGATACCGGCCTGGAGTCCCTCGATGAACTCCTTGGCCCGGGACTCGGGAACGTAGGCTCGGGAGGTGGCCGAGCACTTCTGGCCCTGGTACTCGAAAGAACCTCGGATGGTGTGGTTGACGGCGTTGGGGATATCGGCGGTAGGGTGGATGAGGTGGAAGTTCTTGCCGGAGGTCTCGCCGACAATCCGGGGGAAGTCACGGTATCGCTTCTCAGCAATACCCTGGCCGATCTTGCCGTAGATGGATCGGAAAACGTCCGAGGAGCCGATGAAGTTGAGACCGGCAAACTCGCGGTGTTGGAGGACAATGTCGGTGATCTCGGCGGCATCACCGGGCACGAACTGGATGACATCCGGGGGAAGACCGGCCTCGACGAGGATGTTGTAGATGATGGTGCTGGGGTAGATGTTGTACTGAGAAGGCTTCCAGAGGACAACGTTGCCGAGCAGAGCAGGTCCGGAGATCAAGCTACCACCCAGGGCAGTGAAGTTGAAAGGAGAGACGGCGTAGACAAAACCCTCAAGAGGGCGGTAGTCAACTCGGCTCCACATACCATCGCTCCCGCGGTCAGGCTGCTTCTCAAGAATCTCGGCAGCGTAGTTGCAGTTCAGACGGAAGAAGTCAGCCAGCTCAGCGGCGGCATCAATCTCGCCCTGCCAGACGTTCTTGCCCTGACCGAGCATAGTAGCAGCAATAAGATCATATCGGTACTTGGTGGTAACGAGCTCAGCAGCCCGCTGGAAGATGGCGACACGGTCCACGAAGGGAGTGTCCTGCCATGACTGCTTCGCCTTGAGGGCGGACTCGATAGCGGTGGAGACCTGCTCCTTGGTGGCGAGAGGGTAGTTGGTGAAGGTCACGGCGTGCTCAGCAGGCAGGACCTGGTCCTCGTTCTTAGCAATCTTTTGCGAGGCGCCGTTGAAGATGATCTCGCTCTTGAGGGGGAGCTGAGATCGGAGTCTCTTGAGGGCCTCCTCAACCTTGGCGCGCTCGGGAGAGCCTCTTGTGTAAGTGGGCTGGGTGATGTCAGCGTGTGTCTGTTGTCTTTTGGAGGGGTCATCTTACGTTGGGCTCGTTGCGGGGAGCAGGGAGTCTGAAAGGTACGGTGGTCTTTGCCCGAGTCTGAATAGAGATGCTAGGAGGAGTGGTGCGAAGACCACGGGCCATGGGGAGGCGGCCCTTGGAAGCCAGAGCTCTAATAGAGGCCATTGTGATGGTAGAGTGTGAGATGTGAGGAGTGAGGTTGAGGAAGATGCTCGTGCTGAAGCCTGAAGAAACACCACCACTTGGAGGCTGAAGTCATCTCTCTTATGCTCATTCATCCATCTTGATGCTCGCCTCGAAGTTTGCCATGTCGGGGACCCTGCCGAAGGCTAGTGGATAGCCGGAGGCGACTCAAGAGCGACCCCTCACAGCCACCGGGCAAGGATCCGGTGTGTGGAGTTATCACAAGATCACAATCTCGACCCCACGGGGGACCCTGGGTGGGAACGCCCCATCCAAAGAGCCGCATGAGATCTAACTTATCTGCCGGGAGTTGGCCCGGTATCTGACTCAGGATGGGGCGTCCGGTGGAGGTCCGGTCTTCGGCATGGTGATAGGCCCCGTAACGGGAGAGCCGAAGGAGGCCGTTCCGGTGACGCTGGAGATACTGGGTATACTCGAGGGGTTGGAGACGTTGATGCCCCCGGGTATTCTCACTCATCCTTCTTGAACGCTCCCCATGGCTACCATGCAGCAGCAAGACGTCTCGGACAATGGCTACGATCGCAGTTACCTCTGGAGGCCGTTGGCGGGGGATGTGGCGGCTGCTGCAATCTCGGCCACATTAGTTACGCCAGCAATTACCATCATTGACCGGTGAGTAAAATTTCAAATCTTTGCTATGATAGAGATTCTAATTACCGTCAGGTCAATGGTTGAAAAGGTGGCATTCAACAGACCCTTCGGCTATGGCATGAAGCTACACGGTGTGGCAGCTCTAAAGAACCCTGGCCGTTTTGTCTTTGGTCGCCCATTCGGTCTAGTGTGGACTCTCTACGCGGCGACCTACGCCGTGTCGAACGGCTCAGACACTCTGGCCCATGAATTTCATAAAGCTGCCGTCGGGACAATTACCTTTGTGTCTACCATGATCGTCAACGTTCCGCTTGGAGTTTGGAAGGATGTCAGCTATGCACAGATGTTTAGTGCTTCCAGCACGCCGCCTAAGAAGGCTGCACCAGTTGTCAAGCCTGGTATCCCCAAAGCTGCCACTGGAGCGTTCTTGTTCCGAGATGCTATCACCATCTTCGGCTCCTTCACCATGGCACCTTGGTTGTCGGCTCTTATCCCGGATAGCATGTCTTCGAACCCGCACTCCAAGGCCATCATCTCACAACTTACCGTGCCAATATTTTCACAGTTCGCTGCTACACCTGTGCATCTCCTTGGATTGGATCTTTACTCTCGACCTGGCGGTGTGCCGTTTGTTGAGAGGGCTGCTCAGATCCGAAGAGATTTGCTCTCAGCAACGATTGTGCGATCTCTTCGAATCATTCCGGCGTTTGGATTTGGATGCATTGCGAATATGGAGAGTCGTTCATGGTTTCACAAGTTTTTTGCCAAGTTATAAAACATGCACTCATAGAGAAAAATGGTGTTGGCGGATCATTGTTTCCATGTGGTTTTCATTTTCATCAGAGTGTCTTGTTGAACTTTATATACATGCTTTGACTATGAAGTAGGCCTCGTGTCGTTGACGTGAGTGACAGTCTCCATGAGCCGAGCAACAGTGACAGCTTCACGAAGAGCACGTCCAAGATGGCCTCGAACTCCAGCCTCTTCCAAGACCATGATTCCACCGATTGTGCATCCTTCGGGAGAAGTTCCCTGGTCCCTTAGAACGCCAGGATGAATCCCGCTCTGGAGCATCTCGGCTGAGCCCTTCATGGACTGATAGATCATAGTCTGGGCATCTGCACGAGGAACCCCGACCGCAACAGCTGCATCGATAAAGGCATCGCAGATGATGGCCCAGAAAGCTGGTGTAGAACCTCCCACAGCAGTGGTAGCGTTCATGAGACGAGGGTGAATCTCGACTGTTTGGCCAATGCTCTGAAAGATTGCCTTAGTCAACTGGAGGTGCTCATCAGGCAAGGCGGGCTCAGTGGGCGCGTTCTCGATGGCAATAAGGCCTTGAGACACCATGGACGCAATGTTTGGCAGCGTGCGCACCACCCAAGCCCGTCCGGGCTGGTTCTCCTTGGTGCTCGCACTTCCATAGATGGTAGTCTCGAGCTTCTCCTTTGTCCAACCAGCAGCAACGCTGATCAGCAACTTGTTGGACAACGCATCTCGGATTCCGGACTGCGTGAGAACGGTCTCAATATCCGCAGGGTCCACCCCAAGAATAACCACGTCGGACTGTTTCACAGCCTTGACGTTGTCACCGCGAGACACAGTGAGGACATCCTTGTACTCGGCAAACTGTTCAGAGAGCTTCGTCTCTGAAGCCTCGGACCGCACACAAGCGATGAATTTGGTAAAAGGCAGCTTGCTTTTTCCATCTCTTGTGGCAGGGACGAGGTTCTTCACAATTGGTGTTGTGATGTTACCTGAACTCTGTTAGTCACAAAAAACACATCGCCGCTTACAAGGACCCTTACCCGTCCCCAGGATGCAGAGGGTGGCATTGCTCAGGCTAGACATGTTGGGCGTTGTTGGTGGGAGTACAGCTCAAGTGACGAATCTGCAGCGTCTTGAGTCGAGATAAGAAAAGCCGAAGGATCCAGAACAGAAATAGTCTAGCGAGGCGAATAGACACCAAACCGTAGATAGAAAGATGTCGACAAGTCTTGCAGATGAACTTGCAGCGTCGAGATTGTGTGTGAGGGGCACGGGAGGACTACCGATGACGGGGCTGATAACGTGGAGGTCATGTCGCCTCCGCAACAAGTGGGGACGTCGGGAACCCTGCCGGTGGATACAGACGCCACTGAGAGGGAGGTTAATGCATCGTGATTGCGACCTTGTTTTGACGTTGACGACGTGAGGGGAAGAGACGAGATATCAAGATGAGGCTAGCTAGTGCATGAAGTGATCTATCAAGTGACGTATCAGCAAAGATTATGAGACGGGAGAGATACGCAGACGAGCGATTGTTGGAGACATGGAATTGATTCATGTAAAGTTCATGTTCAAATTCAAAATCTGTGCTAGATACAACAACAAACTGTAATGCTACTATGCAATTGCTTTTCGTTCACCACTCCAAAAATCCTCATCTCCAGAAAGCCAATCTCCTCCAGGCCTCCGTCTTCAAGGCGCTGTACTCATCATGGGTCCGCGAAGCCGCATCCCGGTTCTCCATACCACGCCGCGTCAGATACGCCATGCACTCGGCCAAGGTACCCCAGGTGGAGCACTTGTACACCTCGGGGGCCACCCCTGCATCGTCCTTGAGCTTGAGCAGACTGAAGCTAACCTCGTCCGACATGCCGTGCAGCTGCGCGAACTTGACGGGCACCGTCGGGAGCTGCGCCTTGGTCCGCTGCTGGTGCAGTTCGTGTGCTGCCACCAGGCTCTCCTTGTTGTGACTGGCCAGGAGGAGCATGGCTGAGGGGAAGGGCTTGGCGTTGCTGCCGCCGAATCCACCGAACTCTTGTCTGAGCACACCCTGGGCGATCTTGTTGTAAGCGTTATCCGTATCTTGCTTGGTGTCGTGGATCAGATGCCGGGGGTCAGACGCCATGTAAGCGCCGCGTACCACCTTGACACCAAGAGTGAAGCCCTCCTTGAGAGCGCAGGCGAGGTGTTCGGAGAGAGTCTCGGAGGTGCTCTTAAGATAAGCCTGGTATGTGTTGTAGAGAACAGCTTGTCCGTCGCGGTTGAACTTTCGCTGGAGATCCATGCCCACGTTGAAGATGCCCCATTGGAAGTGCTGAGATTCGGCGTCGATTAAGATGTAGGCACCGCGATCTTTGCACTTTTGCGAGATTTCGTCGAGGGCGTCAAGGAATTGCTGAGGGAGGGGAGTGCCATTGGCAAAGGCTTCGCAGACAGAGGGGCCAGCACCAGTAAGCCTGCAACTGTTAGTCAATTGTCGCAAAAACACCATGATTTTTAGAGCAATACTCACTTGACAGCTAATTGATCGCCCTCACGGAGGAGCTCCACAGTCTTGACGGTTCCGGCGCGCCAAGCCTCGATGCTCTCGTTCCATTGGGCTTCGCCCTTGCACGACGCATCAACACCAAGACCTATTTGCTCGTTTGTATGGTGATCAAAAACGGTCTCCTTTGCGTATGTGAGAATTGTGCCGCGGAATCCCATATCCTGCAATTGCTTCATAGTATTCTGTGTCTCGACTCCAGTCTCGCCGGCGCAGAATTGCTTGTAAAATGTCTGCTTGAGAATGGAGCGGAGGAAGGGGTTGCGGTCGACATTGAACAAGAAGGGATTTCCAGGGCGAGAGAGCTTCAGGAGGAGGGTGAGAGAGGGGACGAGAAGCCATGGTCTGGAGGATACGGCGTTGATGAGAAGTGATCGCCACAAGACGGTGGAAGGAACCTCTGATAAAGGGGATTCTGTGCCTCGAGCAGGGGCAGCTGTCCGGGTAGCCTCAATGGCAGTAGAAGCAGAAGAGTGACGGCGAATCTGGACGATGCTCTCTCTCCGTGCCCTGGACTTGGACGCCTTCAGTGGTACAATTAAGCCCCGGGTTGCCCGAGAACCAGAGATTGTGATGCTCCCAGAAAGAGAAGATGCCATTTCGTAGAGAATGCAGTGTTTTTCTTGAAGGCAGAGATTATGGTAGAATTACAGATAACAGCACAATGGGTGAACAGCATCATCTTTTGAACTTAATCTCGTCGTCGTGTTCCATATCCATCGGTAGCCTAACCGATGCTATTGATGATGGCGCGGGGAGTCTGGGGAGCGGGGTAAGCGTGTAGGTTGTCACATGCCCCTTGGTCGAGGCCGTATCAAGACGCCATCTGACCGTCATCGGAATAGCCAGAGGCTGAAGGCCTCGATCCTGCGATGGCTTCCCCCAGGCGGACCGGGTGCCGATGGCGGCCAACCCCACGTGGGTCAACCTCAAAGCGTCTCGTTGCCACCCACAATCTATCGACCCGGGAAGGGCACCGTTGGGTTGTGTTCTAGTGTTACCTCTTATCGCGGTACGTAAGTTCTAAACTAGATCCGGAAAGTCGGATATGCCATGTGTCTCGTCAGTCTCTAGAAGCTGCAGCCATGGATTGTGATTTGTCTCGGAAGCCCAATCGACGTGGGATGGAAGGCAGAAGCGAGGTTATCTTTTCCCTAGATAGAGATAGCTCACGGTTGGCAGCGGCAAATCCATATCGTGGATCGTCACGCGCCAGGGGCCGAGTTGTCCGCATGACCTTGGGCGTGAGCCCTGCAGGAGAATCCTTTTCGTGTCTCGGGAATCTAGATCTTGGGTGAACCTTACGGGGGTATCTTTATGGATACCCCTGTTATCCAAGTGCCGAAGGCCCCGGTCGTCGAGATGAGACAGGCGAGCTGAGAAGTGATCTTCCTGTGCAGGAGAATTTCTGGTTGTTGGGCCTGGACGGTGGCAATCGCTGAAGATCTCGATGGCTTACTTGTTTACTGATGAAAGTCTGTACGCCTCTTCGACTTTCTCATGCAGGACTGAATACACCGGAATTCTGGACAGAGTTCAGGACAACATCAGATATTGGTAATTCCACTTTCATGCTTGGAGATAACGACAGAGTGTAACGCACAGTATCAAAGAATGCAGTTTTAAACATAACACCGTAGTTCAATGACCAATTGACTAAAAACTGAGACGATTGCAATTTTACTTTCATTTTGACTTTATTTAGGAGACATTTTGCTGCCTTTTTACTGAACTGTCCGAACCACCTCATCCAAGGACTTTGCTGTGTACTCAACATTGTGCTCGTTGAGACCTGCCAGTGATATTCTTGAAGTAACCGCCATGTAGATGTGGTAGTGCTCTGGAAAGGTGAGTCAGTAATTATTATCTGGCAGGGACCGGGCTTCATACCTTCCAAGTGCTTGATCTGTGCCGAGCTGATGCCGGTATAACCAAACATGCCCGTCTGGTTGATAATGTGTGACCAGTCTCCAGGTGTCTCCAGACGGACAAGTTCGTCGTAAAGCCTTTGCCGCATGGACTTGATTCTTGAAGACATTGTGATGAGATCTTGCTGCCACTGCTTGAAGCAGTCTGGGTTGCTGAGCACAGTAGCCGCGATGCGGGCACCATAGACTGGAGGGTTAGAGATTGTCTGGCGTTGGGCATTTTGTAGCAGCGAGTAGACAGTCTTCTTGGTCTCCTCTGATCGTGTGACGATGGCCGTGAGCCCAACACGCTCGCCGTACAGGCCCATGTTCTTGGCGAACGACATGCCCACGGCTACCTCAAGGTTCAAGTCGTCGACAAGATGTCGAACAGCCCACGCATCCTCATCGTAGGAGCCAGAGTTGAAACCAAGATAAGCAGAGTCGATAATGGGAAAGATACCATTTTCCTTGATGACTTGGGCGATCTCCTTCCATTGCTCTCTCGAAGGATCGCAGCCGGTAGGGTTATGAGCGCAGGCGTGTAGGACAACAGCCGAGCGATGGTCAGCAGCCCTGAGGCACTTCATGACACCCTCAAAATCGAACTTGCGATCCTTGTAGTATGGCATCTTCGTGATGTTGAACCCGATGGATCTGAACTGGAGGTCATGATTTGACCAGGTAGGATCGGTGATGAGGACATTCTCAATACCCGTCTTGGCCTTGGCGAGGACGAGGCCGATGAGAAGTAGGGAACCACTGCCCGATACTGCTTGACAAGTGGCGATCTATATACTTCAGTATACTGTAAAAGCGTTGGCTGAAGAATCCACATACCCTGTTCTCTTTCAAAGCGGCCGTGTCGTGGAACAAGACCTTAGTCGCTTCATCGCGGAAGCTCTGAAGACCTTCGATAGGGAGATACTCGTGACCAGCCTGACCGATCAACTTCTCAGCCGCACGCACAGAAGGTAGAATCCACGGTTTGGCGTTCTCATCACGATATGTGCCCTGACCGAGATTCACCTTGTTGGGGCTCTTGTCAGCGTTGAAGCGCTTGGTAACCTCAAAGATGGGATCGGGCGGGATGTATTCCGCGGCCTCAAAGAAAGAATTTTGGGGGGACATGATGAAAACGGAAATCGGCGAAAAGGTAGCTGATGGCCTGAAACCGTTTCTGCTCCCCTGCTCTTGTCTGCTTTAATGTGAAATTCCCCCCGTCTGTCTTCTCTTCGGTGCACCTGCCCGGCTTGGAGCGGGGACCTCGGGGGCGCCGCCCGACCTCCGACTGCTCGGGCGGTCATCCGACATTGTGTTGCGGCGATGGGCCGGGGACTCCGCTTTACGGCATCTAGACCCATTCTCACCGGCTGTCATCCGTCGGCTTCTTTCCTTGTTCATCTGGTGAGACCGATGTCGGGCATTTATATGCAGAAGGTTATAAAATGTAGATGCCAACAACATCTCTGCTATGTTGACACTGGTCAGCTGTTATCGTCCCTTGTCAGATCATTGAAGCATATGCTACGTATAGGCTGGTCAGTTCATGTGCCAGGCTCGGTATTACGTCCACGGGAACAATGAAGATAACTTCCCACTTTCAGCATCATGTCCATATGCTCTCGCGTTTGCCAGACAATACGCCTCCTGACTAGCTTTGCGGAAGGCTCAACGAAACATCATCATAGAAACTTCTTCTTCTTAATAAATATGATAGCAATGTGCTCTTCTCCGTGTGACACGACGCGTCTCCCGATCTACCCCGTTTTCCAATGTCTGCCTCAATGCACACGATTTTCCTCTGTTTACTGTCAATAACACAAGTGCAAGAGCCACACCACTTCATCATGGAAACCTCAGCAGCGCCGAAACCCGCAACAAACCCCGCAAGCAAGGTACGGATTTTGCCGCAGTCAGCTGTTCACATCGTGCCTGGGAGTGATGTTGGAGAAAAACTCGAGTTCATGAAGAGCATCGTCTACTAGCGTCGTTGGCAGCGAGACTTTGAACCTGGTCAAGAACGTTGGTATCCGCATAGCGACGACTTCGCCCTCAAGAATAGGAAAAAGTCTTTTCCTGATTGATTACCCCAGTCACGATGACACTCCAAGAGTAAAAAGTTATGATATAAGTAGATAAGAGAGCCTCTGTAAGTTTGAGTCCGCTAGCTGTCTCGCATCTCATCATTACCTCAGGCCTAGTACAAACTAATATTATCGTCAGGATCCGTATTCCCGAGGATTTCCTTTCCGAGGCACAAAAGGAAGTTAAGAAGTGGCCAATTACAAGGGAGTGAAGAAAGTTCCATCTAGCACCAAGAGGATCACATGGGAAGTACGAGCCCCTGGCCCATCGCCAAATAAGTGTACCTGTTCTTGATAAGACAATCGAATTCTTAAGGGAGTATCTAGAACATGCACGATGGCTCAAGGCTCGCCTGGAGCCCGAGATTTGGGTTAAAATTGAGACGCAGTGTGATATTTTGGGAGAAGCAGAGACATGATAAGGGGCATCGACGAAGGCGAGCAAAGTAATGAGGCTGAGGTCGATGACAGTGACGATAGATGCAACGAGAAACTCTGAGGAACATAGCGAAAATTTGACTATCACCTTTACGGGGAGTACGTGAGTTAAGGATGAATTAAGAACATGGAGATTGGCTTCATCTAATCTAGGTATGTACTATCGGCAGATCAAACTGTCTCTGTAACCTCTCAAGCCTCAGGCGGCATAGCTAGAAGTCTTCTTCTTGCCCAGACCAACCATCTTCATGATCTCCCTGAAGAACCCAAGATCCTCCTCGTCATAGTTCTCCTCATAAGCGTCAATCATCGGCTTCTCCCAAACTAAATCCGCCTCCTCAGGCTTGATAAACTTGGTCTTCTTGACAAGCTTCCAGCCAAAGAAGAGAATAGGAGCAGCGAGCACCATGGTATAAAAGGTAAAGAAGGTACCGACATCCCACTTTCCGGGCAGGAAGACTGTGTATCCATAAACACAGACCACGCCGGTGAGGAAAACTCCACTGATCCAGGCGCTATACGGCTGGAACCATCCAGTGTAGGGGAGGGTGTTGCGGTCGAGACCTTGGGCCAAGCAGGCCTTATAGAAGAAGACGTATGTGATACAGATAACGATGTAGTCAATAATCTGCGCCGCAGTGATCAGGTTGGTAAGCCATGTTAGGACCACAGCCGAGTCGCTTGAAACGTTGAGGAAGGCAAGGCACGGGAAGACCATGATAGTGGCGAGGCAGTAGATGGGAACTCCCTGCTTCGTGACCTTGCGGAGGAACTTGGGGGCTTGGCCTTCAAGCGCGAGACCGTACAGACTTCGAGTTCCGCAATATGTGTAGGCGTTACCGGCCGAAAAGATACTCGTGATGAGCAGCGCGTTGGTGATGTGAGGCAGAACGCCGACTCCGAAGTTGTTCATGGCAATAACATAGGGCGAAGCGGCCGCAGTACCAGCACCACCCTCCTCGCCAGTGAGGATGGAGACGAGGGTCTTATCGTTGTAGGCAATGGCGACTCCAACGGTCAGGGCACCACCGATGAAGAAGAAACCGAATCGAGCATATGTCGTCTTGAAGGCGTTCTTAAGATAGCGGCGAGGAAGCTTGGTCTCACCGGACACCATCGAGACGTATTCCGGACCGACGATGGTGAACGCGGCACTCCATAAGGAGCCGAGGAAGCCCTCAAATCGACCCAAGTCACCCGTTGTAATGTATTCGGCGAAAGGACCGGGGTTCTTCCAGTATCGGAAGCCGTAACGATCGCCCTTGGGGTTTCCACCGAGCATGGTGACAAAGGTGAAGGAGAAGACGATAAGGAGGAGGATGACTTTGCCGGATGCAAGCCAGAACTCGGCCTCTCCGTACCACTTAACGGTGAAGGCGTTGAGGGCACTTCGCTCTGTTAGTACAGTCCAGGTTGATGCAGTCATAGGGAACTCACAAGTAAAGGACAATGCAAGCTGCAACTACTGCCGCGACAGGAATGTCGTCACGCCAATAGGTCAACACAAGGTTGAGAGCTGAAATCTCGAAGGGAATCAGGATAGCCTCGTAGATAAAGAAGTTCCACCCGGCCATAAAGCCAAAGGCTTCATCAACCCAATGACCAGCCATTCGAATGAAGGCACTGGTAATAGGCATGAAGGTAGCCATCTCAGCGATGCAGTTGTTGACCAGGCCAAGCATGCATGAGTAGAGGGTATAGGCGATCAACAAGCTGCCTGGGCCGCCCTTGATGAGACCAGTACCGATACTGACGAAACTGGCGGTTCCAATGGAGCCTCCAATGGCGATCAGTTGGACCTGGCGGTTGCCCAAGCTTCGCTGGAGGTGATCCACATTGGGACCCAGATCGCCAGCGTGGACACTTTCGGCTTTGTCGTTGACTCCCTCAAACTTCAAGTCCGACATGTCGGACTTCTCCTCTTTGTTGAACGACATGATGAGAAGTATGGAAGGGAGGATGAGATGGGAAGAATGAGACAGAGAAGGCTCGTAGCGAGAGGGGAATCTCTGGCCTTTAAAAGCTCACCGGGCGAGTCATGGACATATTGCCAGATAGAGACTCTGCTGATTACCCTCGGTATCAGTAGCAGAGGCCAAGACATGGATCATGGATGGTGGCCCAACCTGGGGTAAACTCCACCCCCGCAAAGTCACTAACTGTGGCCAGACCAGTCCACACCGTCGGTGAGATTAGGCTACCCCAAGCCATCCTACCGGATGGTGGGCCGGTGGAGAAGCGTATCTTTCATGACGTGGTCTTTCGATGGCAATAATGACCATATCAGGTTGTCACTTGGCTTAAAGAACGGCTGAAGGGCTCAGGAGGGGTTAGGTCAGGCATCGAACTGCGGCAATTAGAAGTGTGTGTGGTTGCCTTTTCCCCTCATGGTAGCGGTTCATCTTGGTATGGAGGCATTGCTGAAAGCCTGGCGAGTTACCCTGTCAACTGACAATCTTTAACCCTGACGTAGGTTCAACATGATAGAGGCTCCATAGATCTTGATGGGTCTTCGTTATCTGAAAGGTAATCTGCTATCTGATAAAGAAGACCCGGACTCCGTTTCTAACGCTCCATATACGTATTTTCAACGAATCTCAAGTCTCCAGTCTATCTCTCTAGTCTGCTGCTCTTCATCACGGACCCCAAATTGAGGAGCTCGGTGTCCCCAGGGAGGACAAGTGGAGAAATGGCGCCATCGGGAGGGCAGCCGATGGAGATAACGGGAGGGCTCCCGTAGCTTGGTGCACGGCACTCCTTGCTGCTGATGGTGTCCAGCTATGGTGCGACTCTCCGGGAGAAGGGCGATGGAAGCAGGGGATATGAATGGCTATGGATGTTCTCACTCGGTTAGTCTTGCATATCTCCGGACTTGAGCGTTGTTGGCGCCACATTCAAGGGAACTCATAGGGCCGGGGAGTCCGGTAGTGAAAGCCCGAAGACACGACCAATCAATCATGACAACTCGCGAATTTAGCATCGCCGTCCTCTTAAATGACATTGCCGATGTGGAAGCTTCGACTTTCCAATTTGCTTTCGGAGTACTGTTGGACCGTTCTACCGTTACGATTCAGTCGTGTTGTGGCTGTTGCATAACTGGCTGACATGACGAAGGGACTACAGGGGGGGCCAAAATATGCCAGCTTGCCTCTGGCTGCGCACTGGGTAATTCACGCGTTCCCGAGAGGTAGTGCCGGAAGGGATCCGTAAGGAGGCGTCTACCCCTGAAACCTGTACGAGGTTCGGGCTGCCTCCAGACCATTTCAACCATGCTGGGGTGACGCAGGGCATAACGGAAGACGCCAAGATCAATCCCAAGGAACCCCAACTGGATGGTGAAGGTAGGACACGGTGAGCTCTAAAGAGGCGTAGACCTGATCATGAGACTCGGGCGGTGGCTTTGGGCTCTAAGACTAGAATGAGATGGACTGAGGGTGCCCTGGCGTTCGTTGAGTTGGCCACTATCATCACAATGTTGAAATGAACACCTCGCCCTCAATGGTCGAGTGGCTTCTTGGAGACGGGTCTCCGCCCGCATCTCCGCGCTGTCTGTTGATGTAAGTATCTTCTCCAACAAACCGAGATATAGCACTCAAGGCGTGACGGCATCTTGTAGTACCGAAGAACTAGGTGAAAACAGCGCAGCGGCCGCTCAACCCCTGTGCCAATTTGCCTGCGGACTACTGGAGGCCCTCCACGCCCTATCCTTGCAGGGGACACGGCTGAAATCCCGGCGTATGTGCCGCCGGTCTGGATTGGAAGCTTCAAAACGGGGCGAGGACGGGTGAGTCTCCTATTGGGATCTTCTAGCAGGGTGTGTTCCCGTCAGATAAGCACCATGACACATACTGTGATAGCCAACGCAAGCAATGGAAAAGAGAGCACGTCTGCCAAGAGCCTGGTCGCTCGGTAAGCCACTAAGGTTCAAGCACAAAGAATCGAATTAGGAAGCTCCATCACGGTGGCTCCGTCCTATACCTGCCTTGAAGTGTCGACTGATGGACCGATATTGGCTCCAAATTCTCTAGCCTTGCTAGTCACGGGGCTGAAATCTCTCAAGTTTGTGGTTTACAGGATCGGTGTGTCCTAGTTCGTGGTAAATGATCAGGGCCTTGCAGCCTGATTAAGAGTGCCCAAAGCAGGGGACAGGTGCTCAGGGGAGGCACTGTGCTTCAAGTCGTGATCACCAGGGTCGGGGGGCATGGACAGTGCAAATGCCCAAGGAGGCAGTGGGCTTCTCTTAACGAGTCGTGGCCTAAGAAAACAAACTGTTTTGAAAAGATGGCCGTGCTCTCTTGTTGTGTAGGGTAATGTGAGACAACTTGAGCATAGCAAGATGGGTCCAGACTGTATGTACCCGCTGGTGTCAGATGAAAGGAACTTTTTGGACACTAGTTTCATTACATCGGTATACCGGCCTTTTTAGTGACCGGGAATCTAGCGGGAAATCTGGCCGGTATTCGCATCGTACCTCTAGGAACGCAACCCTGATCGATCCTATCGCCGACTTGTCAGTGCGACGCGAGTTACAAAGAACGAGCAATGACTAATTATGACGATCATGAATACGTTCTAACTAATATGAAAGGGGTGATGAATATTGCTCACTTAGAAGAAGACTTTCGGGGCGACATTTTCCTGGCGTATACGACAACATTCGTAGAAAATGTCTCGTTCATACGGCATTCCCGAAGAGCATCCCATTTCAAGAACCGCCAGGCAAACTTTGGTAGACTAGGGGGGAGCGGCCTGTTCAAAACCAGTACTGGGGATCCCTGCTCTGGCTCCCGGGCTGTCACCCAGACTCCAGAGCCAGCGTCTCCGATCCAATAAGACGCCCCGACCTTCAATACTGTGCCACCTGTGCTGGGTTGAAACATTTCGGTTGAAAGAAGGCTTTTTTCGAAACGCCAAGGGACTGTCGCGTCGCGACTTGGACAGCGATGACCTTCTGTCTCGATACACGTAGCGGTCATTGCCGCAAAGGTCGCGCACCATTCATTGTCTCGGATCATCTGGCACCACTGAAGATGTGGGTGCTTCTCTAGGTCGGCCACAAAGCAATACCCAGGCTCCTCTGGAGTAGGCCAAAGGATCCTCAACTGTCCATCCAAACCCACACCTGTGGGACGGAGATGTTCCAAAAGGATACGGCAGGCCTCATGAAGAGTGCCCCTGGGAAAGCGATCTTGGTCTTTCAACTTTTCAAGGCTGATTCCGTCTTTGAACAATCCTCGGACATGGTGCTTGACCACGTCCCATCCGCCAATGCCTATATGATCCAGCATATCGAAAAGGGGGCTTTCAACCATTAGCTGTCGAAGTGGCACTCTCCTTGCTAACCCCGTGCAAACACTGAATTGTAGCCCGAAAAGGTCATTGAGAAAGTTCAAGCTGTTGCTCCTGGCGTAGCTCTTCAAGATAGACTCTTTCAGAGATCGGCCAGGATTGTACTTCCACAAGACACCCGCAGTCAAGATGACCGATTGGCCACCTTGGACAGCTACTTGCAATTGATCTTCATACCAAAAGGGCCTGAGCACATCCACAGGCTCAAGGCATCCAGCAGCTCTAGCTGCATGTCGTGCATTTTCCTCTTCGAGTTTGCAGTTGTCATTAGCAAAAGGTGCTCCAATGAGAATCTTGTCGGTGTAGTTAAAGGTCGAAGGTTCAAACTCCGCGGTCAAGTCGCCCCAATGGAACAATTGCTCACCAGAGACCTCTCCCTGTGTCGGAAAAATGGTTCGACCTCTCACTCGAAGGCCAACCATCGTGTTCAATCGGTCATCAGGATCTGTCGAGATGATGCTGGATTCGCCGAAGGTGTCAACAATATCTTCGCAACTGCCGTAAAGCATGGCAGGTTCCAGTCGGTCTCGTTGAGTAGTGAAGACAAAGACAGGCTTTCCCAGCGCTTTCCCAGCGCATGTTAGATCTTGCAACCGCGCAATTATCTTCAATTTCCCTTTGGCATCCATCTTGTGTGGGAAATGCGAGTTATCTCCATCGCTGGCAGAGACTTCAGAGGGTTCAAAGCCATCAAAAGCAACATAGCCTCCAAGGACGATGACGGAAACTGGCCTTGGAAGGTGCTGCGAGTGGAAGTATCCAGTATGGCACTGCCAATACAGAAGCATAGCGATGCTAATTGCCTGCGTGAGGAGCCAAAGGTGGTGTAGTGTCCGTTCCTTGTTGGAAGGAACAAGGAACTCCTGATCTAGCGGCTCGACACCAAGTAGATCGTGGAATACTTTCCGATATAGAGCCACAATGTATGGGATTTGTGATCCATCTTCAGGAATGCTAAACTGCATCTCCTCACTCGAAATGTCAGTGTCTTCCAATTCATTGTAGACCCCTTGGAGATAATCGAAGGAAATGGTCTCTAGGTCCACTCGACTTGGACTTTTCTGCAGCATCATGGAGATTCGGTCGCAACAAAAGCCGGCCAACTGCCATTCAACTGCCAAATTCATCATTTTCTCCCAGGCCTCCTGTAAGCACGGAATCGCGGAAAAACTTGTCGTGATCTCCACTCCTACGGATTTGGCTTCCAGGCCATCGATGAGCCGGTTTGAGAGAATATCGGAAGACAACTCAAGCCGCTGGTCGGCGGTTGCAGCGTTGATACAATAGTCTGCGAGGCGCTCCATATGCCAAGCAACCAAAGACAAGTCAGGCGGCTCAACACTCTCTGTCCACGCTTCAGGTTCCGGTGGCCTTTTCACAAGGCTTCTTTGGTGACAGCAGGATTCATGATGAAACTCTGGAACTGGAAAGCGAGCGGTGTCGTCATCCTCCGAGGCGTCCTTTGATGGGGCATGTTGTTCGCTGTTGCTAAGGATCTGTTCGAGGCTGTATTGTTGTTTACCAATTAGGTTCCAGATGGATTCCGAGTCCATTTCAATTTCTTGCAGGTCGGCTACCCATTGATACCTGGTTGTTCCATGAAAAAGGGATGGCCGGAAGTCAAAAAGCCGCCGAAGATCAGCTACTGGGAGAATCTCGGTAATCTCGAGAAAGGTGTTGCTGAACTGTTCCTTGGGAAGAGCGGCGATATTCGTGAGAAGATAAGACCCATCATTTACTTCCTCCCAAAGTGTTCGAAAGTGGATCTTCTTATATAGGGTTCCAAACCGGGGGAGGCGCGGTTGCCTGCCTTGAATATTGCCAAACACGTCGTATCCGCAAGCTACCAACGAACATGACCAGAGATCAGCAGGATAGGTACCCAATAAACCTTCAGAGCCTGAACAATAAAACGCGAGTTCCGTCAAGCTTCTGCCGATGTGGTCTTTTGCGTAGACGTCGGCTCCACATTGGATCAACTCAACCATGGCGCGACGTAGGTACCCGTCCATTTGGGGATGAGCGTATTGGATACAGAGATGGAGGCAAGTTTGCCCGAGAGAGTTCGTCGCATTTGGGTTGGCCCCTGATCTAACCAGGAGGCCTAGGTTAGACAACGTAGACTCCGGACAATCACGGAGCCATTGTAGGAGGATAGGTGTTCCCTCAGCCTTGGTCACAAGAATACCGTCGAGTACGTCGAGATCCGCATAGGCGATGATGGATTTCTTTAGTTTCTAATGCCAGATAATTAATGAGCCGTCCATTTCTAGACACCTTTCAACTTACATCGTCGTCGATACTGAACGCAAGGCTGAAGCAGGACCGGCCAGAGCGGCCGTGTGCATGAACATCGGCCCCTGCCTCGAGAAGCCAATCGATCCGCCTATACACCCACTCAGGTATCATCCTACCCCTTTCTATTTTGTTGTGGATGGCAAGTATAGCAACGTGCAGGGCGGTCGCGTCATCTACCGCCCTACAGCCGTGAGTTATGTACATTACTGGGGATAGTTCAGATGAGCACACTCACGTCCATCTAGAGCCACGGAGAATCACCCCAAATTGAGCTTTCGTGCTATGATCAAGTATAAAACGACAGAATCGGTCTCCTTCCTCCCAAAAAAGGGCGTACTTTTTCAGATTAGATGTGAAATGCATCGTGGCGTCTGACTTACGTGCAACAGTGTTTTTCCATTTTCATCAACGTCCCGCAAAGAGGCAGCTCGCGAGGAAAGGAGAGATCTGAATAATGAGAAGTTTTCAGCTCTAATGGAAACAAAAATTTCCGAGTAGGATGACCGTTCGAAGTAGGTGTCGATGGATTTGTACAACGGGAATCTGGCTGGAAATGTCCATTAGTCTAGTTATCCTGAGCCATAGAGAGAAACGGTGATCGGTACAGTAGTGCGTTGAGGTTGGAAGGACTTCTTGTCCACCCCAGCGGCCACTTCGCTGCTTGTCCATTGCCAAACTTCGGGGGGATCTTTAGATGCCCAAGATGAGGGGAAGCACGTTGGGCTAGAGGGCCTCATTTTTATGTGCCCCTCACGTGCGCTGTCTGCTCCTGACTGTGCCTGATGTGGCCAATGATGGCCGTGGCTGTGAGCTTAGCTGATATGGGCAGTCAGAGCCTGGTTTTCACAGCCGGATGCGTGTTTTTCACACCATACCTCCCTCTATGTACCCCTCCGATATGTACGTCGTCTACGATCCGATAACGTAAATAGGTCCCACCGAATCTTGAATTAGGCTCCCTAGATATAATACCGGGCATAATAAAAGTACTCGGTATACCCCACGCCTATAGCTTAAGTATCTAGTCCTACTAAATTACCTTAATTAGCTAGGGGACTTTATTAATTATAATACTAAATATCTTATTAAATTTTCTCTAAATTATAATTTACTTTTCTAAGCCTTAAAGCTTAGATTACTTAAGACTAGGCGCGCTAAAATAGAAATAAATAATATTATATTATAATATCTAGTATTTTCTAAGGGAATAAACTAGGTATATTAGGTTTATTATTAATAGAGAGTCTTAGCGTGCTATATAATAAGGGAATTATATCTTAGTAATAGGTTAAGAAGGTCTTAAAGGTTGTGACGGCAGTCACAGCTGTGGGCACCTTAGCCACTGCGCCACGGGGCAAAAGATTGGGCCATAATCGCTATTGTAGCAATTACAGAAGGTGCTTCAACTGCCTATAGGGCTTCAATCGCTGCTACGGGGGACCAAGCCGTAACAAAGGTAATTAAAGTCTATTAATAGCTTAAGGGCTAAATATTTATCTAAGGTATAATAAGTATTATATATATATATAAATATTTTATAGTTATTAAGAAGGTATTATAGCATAAGAATATATCTTATAATATAAGATTTATTCTTAAAATATAAGATTATCTCTAATTAGCTAAGATTAAAAGGTATTTTATAGGGAAGTTTTTAGGTATATAATAGAGCTTATATTAGGCTATAATATAATTTTCTTTTCTTTATTAGTTTTTATCCTTAAGATTATTTCTATAGGCCTTATTTTTTTATTAATAATAAATAAACTTAATTCTATAAAAATTCTTAGCTATTCTTAATTATATTATAATCTTATGCTATATATTATAGAAAAGCCTAAATTATTTTAATTACTAAAATAAGTTATAATATTATATCTTATTTTTATTATATATTCTAAAAACTTTATTATATTATAAAAAAGGATTATTTTAAGTATTCTAAGTATACTTATAGAGGTTATTTTTATAATAAAAAAGGTATATTAGTTTAATAAGGTAAAAAGAGTATTTTTTTTATCATAGTATTTCTAAGTATAATTAATTTATAATAATAAATTAATTTATTATAAAGACATATTACCTTAAATTAAAAAAAAAGAAAACTAAAAAAGAATTAATTATTTTATAATAATAATTAAATAAATATCTTTTTTATCTAATATATCTTTATTATTAGAAATATTTTTCTTAGGACTAAGGTATAAAGATATTAAGTAAGGGGTTATTATTTATAAAGGAATTAGAATTATTTAATTAGCTAGAATTAGATATAATAGCTAATATATAAGTTATAAGGGTATTAAATATTATTAATTAGAGTACTATATTTAATCTTTTTTTACTTAATAAAATTCCTTTAATAAGTATTATAAGTTTATAAGATATTTTAGGGGTTCTTAGGTATTCTTAGATTTAAGGTAATTTTTTTATTTAATTAAGTATTTTATTTTATTATTAATTCTTTATATTATAATAATTCTTTTTATTATATATTCTTTTAGTTTATTAATTTCTTATAATTTATTATAATATTTAATATAAATAATATTCTTAATTATTTTAAGTAAAGAAAGATAAAAAATTAAATTAAGCTTAACCTTAGGGGATAAATTTAATTTATAGTTATTTTTTTTTATTTTCTTAAGGATCTTAAAAGATTTAATATATTTATAATTAAGTTTTTTATTTTATTATTTTATTATAATATTTTTTATTATTAGGTAAATTATTTTTCTCTCCTTAAAGATTAGCCCTTTTAATTACTTAGAGTTATAATAAGTCTATATATATTTTTATATAAATTTAAATTTTATTTTTATTTCTTTATATAGATTTTTTAATTAATTATTAATAAAAATAGCTTTTAAATTAATTAATTCTTTTTATTTTATTTAATAAGTATTTATAATAAAAATAAAATTTATAAAGGCTAATATTATCTTTATATTTTTATTAAATATTATATTATAAGCTAATTAGATAGTAAATAACTTATTAATTTAATTAATTTATTTATAATTAATATAATATTATAAGTATTATTTAATAATTTAATTTATTTTATTTATTTATTTATTAATTTAAGGTTAAAATATTATAATAAATTTATAATTAAGACTATATTATATTATAAGTATTTATTAAAATTTTAAAGTAAATATAAGTTTTTTATTAGAAATAATTTCTAAAAGTAATTTATAAATATTAATAATTTATTATAAAAAGATATAAAAAAATTCTTTTATATTTATTACTTCTTAAAATAAGATAAAATATATAAACTTTATAAAATAATTAATAATAATAAAGATATTATTATAAATAATATTAATTAAGGGTTTTTTTAATAAGGATAGCTTTA